TGTCACTCACTCTCCCTCCCTATCCTTTAGAGATGAAACTTAATATACCTTGTGGTGTGACGCCAATAAGATATTTCACCGTATTGTGGTGCTTGTAAGTAGAGAAAGCTTGGGCTTATGTGAGTTGGTTAGATGACTTTTCAATAAAAATCTCAAAGCAATCAATAATGACAGTACACCTGGGACAGTTTTACGGAAACACATCAGCATTGTGGCCAACAAAATGTCACGCTCTGGCCATAAAATGAGAGGTTTGAGCTTAATAAAAAGGACATTTATTACATGATGGAACACTCTTGAGACAGTACTGGTATGAACCAAAAACCAATACCCCAGATCTTTTAATGAGAAATTATGTCGCATACACATTAGTGTTAACAAAAGTTATTGGAAAGTGGACAGTGATTATCTCTGAAACAAATCAGGACGAACAAAATCATACACCACTTCAAAAATCTCCCAAATTGGCAAACCAGTGTAATAGACTATTTTTACTGTTTTGTCCTTATATGATTTGGGTGTTTTGTTACTAAAATTCTCTGTCTGAACTTTTTTCTCAACCAGCATGTGTTCTGTCTGAACTTCTTTATTAACTGGTATGCATTTAACCACTTCATCAACTCTACCAACATCATCATTACTTATCATCCTGCTGGTTTTGTTCAACCTCATCAGCATCTTTATCGCTTTCACAAACTCTCTGCCTTTTACTTGCTCTCATAAGTGCTCTAGAATACCGTGCATTACTAGTAGCTGGGCCTGAAGCAGTTCTGATATAGCCAAGGCTTATGGATGGCACCCAATCTGGGTTTGTAGTGTCATATAATTGACTAGGACAACCACTGATAAAAGGGTCTGAACATACTAGAGTATACTGGTAGTTGCTAGTCTTGATGTCTGACCTATTTATGGTAGCAAGCCATTCTCTTTGCCTTCTAGATGTTAAAGGTTCAGTCTCAGATCCTTGGTGTTTGATTATCCCTGGCAAACAATAAAAAGACTTCTTTATGTCTTTGTGTTCATGGTTTGAGCAACCTATAACAGCACAGAAGTTCACCATGTTGTACTCCAAGATGGTGGCTGTAATAAATTGCCACAATCGATCAGACCCTTCTGCAAAGGGTCTATATGGTGGGTTAGCTTATTTAGTCACAGTCCAAAAGCTCGTGTTCTCTGGAGACAACAAACAAGTAGGCCTATTGCCTCGTATTCTGCTATAGTCAGTTTCAGTTGAGTCTAACAGGTGAAACACCATTATAACTTTTTTGTTATTAATGCTAGCAACTTGAAACTTAGTCTATAGTAGGGCCACACTGACTTTGTTCAGCTAATTATAAATGCACGAGTAGCTGTCATATGAAAGTGGCTGTTAATTGTCACATAAGTGTTTGTTTATAGTAGCTTACCCACAATGAATATAATTATGAGACAAATTTTATTATAAACTTTTATTATTTTAAAATTACAGTAAATAAAAGTAATATTATTAGTCAGGTGTATTCATAATTGTAATTAGCAACCACAGCATCATTTGGAGAGGCAGAGATTGAAGTGACACCTTTGCTAGAGGCTTCATTACTATCGGACTCATCA